AAAAGAAAAAAAAAGAACAGCCCAACATTTGACAAACGGGGATACCTGGCTGCCACACACTCACACACACTGATACATAATACACACAACAACCACTGACTCATAAGCCCCTCCCTCTCTTCTGTGTCAGGCACCAGCCAGGGATCCAAAATGAAGTGACCCAGGTATGATCACTGCCTTTGTGAACTTTATACATATGCAAGCACACACAACACAAAGACACACATACACACATACTCAGACACACACATGAACTTAAGCACACAAGCACACATTCACATATAAGCACATACACGCATATACATGCCTGTAACTACAGAGACACACCAGCATGCACATGCATGCATACACACAGGTACACACAGATGCACAGGAACACATACACAGACACACGCACTTGCTCATTTCTCCAACCCAGCTCCTCTTTGGGCAAGGAAATACCAATACGGGACTCAGAACATACAGTAGACATGCATTTCTTTTTTTTTTTTTTTTTGAGACAGAGTCTCACTCTGTCACCCAGGTTGGAGTACAGTGATGTGATCTCCGCTCACTGCAACCTCCACCTCCCAGGGTCAAGTGATTCTGCTGCCTCAGCCTCCCGACTGAATTATTCTTCCTGATGCTCTCCCGCCACCTGCTCCCCAACTTGGCTTACTTTTAATTACTTAATTAATAATTAAAAGATGGGGAGATGGGGTCTTACTATGTTGCCCAGGCTGGTCTCAAACCCCTGGGCTCAATTGATCCTCTCGCCTTGGCCTCTCAAAGTGCTGGGATTACAAGCGTGCACCACCACGCCTGGCTAATTTTCGTATTTTTAGCAGAGATGGCGTTTCACCATGTTGGCTAGGCTGGTCTCGAACTCCTGAACTCAAGTGATTTGCCTGCCTCGGATTCCCAAAGTGCTGGGATTACGGGTGTGAGCCACCACGCCTGGCCTGGGACATAGGTTTCCAAAATCGCTTGGTTATCGTCAACCTCCTCCTCCATACTGACGCCCACCAAGCCCTTTTATCACCCACAAGGCGAGCCTCTGTCCCTCACAGAGGTTCAGGCCAAACCCAACAGAACCACAGAGGTGAAAAGTGCTCCCACTGCAGTCTGCCCATTATCAGCTGACTAGCCATGAATCAGCATTAAACAGGTGCTCCAAGGCCTCCCTGCCACACTCACAATAAAACCCAAACAGCTCATCCGGCTCACAAGGGGACTGTCCCACCTCTCAGGCACCCACCGTCTCTTAGTCTTCTCCTGCTGTGCTGGCTTTTTCCTGCTGTTTCCTCCACACCTCCCCACCCCAGGGCCCTCGCACTTGCTCCCCTCCATCTTCCTCTAGGTATTTGCTCCACCCACTCCCTCACCCCTGTCTCTGCTCACATGCAGTTTTCTGGGCAGGCCTTCCCAGATCTCTCTTATCAAAAGCTGCACATGAGCCCGGGCAACACAGCAAGATCCCATCTCTGTTAAAAAAAAAAAAATAAAGAATAGGCCAGGCGTGGTGACTCACGCACATAATCTCAGCAATTTGAGAGGCCAAGGCGAGAAGATCGATTGAGCCCAGGGGTTTGAGACCAGCCTGGACAACATAGTAAGACCCCATCTCCCCATCTTTAATTATTAATTAAGTAATTAAAAGTAAGCCAAGTTGGGGAGCAGGTGGTGGCAGAGCATCAGGAAGAATAGCTAATGGATCCTGGGCTTGATTCCTAGCTGATGGGTTAATCTGTGCAGCAAATCACCATGGCACACATTTACCTATGTAACAAACCTGCACATCCTGTACATGTACCCTGGAACTTAAAAGTTGAAGAAAGAAAAAAATTAGCCAGGCATGGTGGTGCGTGCCTGTAATTCCAGCTACTCAGAAAGCTGAGGTAGGAGGATTGCAAGAGCCCAGTAGGTCAAGGATACAGTGAGCTGAGATCACACCACTGCACTCCAGCCTGGGCAGCAGAGCAAAATCCTGTCTCAAAAAAAGAAGAAAGAAAAATATTAAGGGAAATGAATAAAGTGTTCCCTTTTGTTTTACTAGCAGAAGGGGTGGCCATCTCCACAATCCTCGCTGATAACTTTCCATATTTATAGAATTTCTCTGAAACTGACAAAACAGACCAAGAATCTCAAACTCAAATCCCTCAGGGGCCAGGCACCTGCCACAAGTGCAGAAAGCAAGCCAGTATAATACAATAGGGAGTGGTGGGGACTCCAGCAACTCCTCAGCTCTGCCCTGTGGGATTATAGGCCTAACCTGTCACAACTTCTCACTTTTCCAGAACATCTGGATCTGGACAGCTAGAATTCATTTAAAAAAACCTGATTTGTAATTACCTGCTCACACTTTCCAAAATCACCATGCCAAGTGAGAAACCTACAGGCCTGCAAGACACAGTAGTTCATCAACAACAAAGTAGATTCTCTCCTTCAGCTCCCCTAGTCACATTTAAGCCTCAGTTTTTCCATCTGTAAAGTAGGCGAGATGATATTCCCTGTATCAGGGGTTGAGGGATGCTGGAACGAGATCCTGGATGGATCTAAGAAATGTTAGCTGGTACCGTGTCATGCTTCTCTCTCTCTCTCACACACACACACACACACGCACACACACATACTTGTCTGTGGTCACACTTACAGGGTCGTGGATGGTTTCCGAGAACAGGGGTGAACGATCTGAGAAACAGGACAAGACGAGCTGAATGAGTACGAGGGAAAAGTAGACGTAGAAAGTGATGTCACGAAACAGATCCACCTGGGCGTCCTGCATGGTGGGGAAGGAAGGAGGAAAAAGATCACATTGTGGGGCTGTGTGCGGTGGCACACCTGTAATCCTAGCACTTTTGGAGGCCGAGACAGGCGGATCACCTGAGGTCAAGAGTTGGAGACCAGCCTGGTCAACATGGTGAAAGCCCGTCTCTACTAAAAATACAACAATTAGCCAGGCGTGATGGCAGGTGACTGTAATCCCAGCTACTCAGGAGGCTGAGACAGGAGAATCACTTGAACCCAGGAGGCGAAGGCTGCAGTGAGCCGATATCGCACCACTGCACTGCAGCCTGTGTGACAGAGCCAGACTCCATCTCAAAAAAAAAAAAAAAAAAGATCACATTTTGAGAGCAGGTAGCAGAAACCCAGAGGGCAGACAGCACCATGGAAGGTGCACCCACTCAGCTCCAGGGCCATTGCAGGCTCCCAGCTCTCCCAAGGACGTAATGGCAGAAAGCCAGCTCCATCACGGGTAGTCTCACTGCTCACTGCTGCCTGACGGGAGGAAGACAGGGCTTGGGAGTGAAACAGAGCTGTATCAAGGCCTGGCTCTCCCATACTAGCTGTGGGATCTTGTCAACTTATTGAACCACCCTGTGCCTCAGTTTCCCCACCTATAAATCACCTATGGTTCTTAACCAGGGGTGATTCTGCCTCCCAGGAAACATGTGGCAGTGTGAGGGGACATCTTGTTTGTTGTAACTTGGGAGTATTATGGCACCCAGTCAGGGGAAGCCAGGGACACCCCTAAATGTCTACAAAGCACAGGATAGCCCCTACAACCAAGAAGTCTCCTATCTAAAATGTCGATTAGTGCTGAGGCTGAGAAATTCTGTCCAAGTCACTGCAAGAGGTCAGGAAGAATATTTGTGAAACATACATAGTCCCCTGCGAGGCACTTTGAAAACATGAACTCAATCAGCATCAGCTGCCATCACTCATGACAATATGTAGGCGTTCAATGGTCAAATGTTCAGCTTCTTTTCCTTCCTTTGCCTCATGCCAGTCTCTAATTAGGTCCAAGACGGCAGGAACAGCAGGTTATTCTAAAAGCACACACTCCAGGTTGGGCGCGGTGGCTCACGCCTGTAATCCCAACACTTTGGGAGGCCAAGGTGGGTGGATCACAAGGTCAAGTGATCGAGACCATCCTGGCCAACACGGTGAAACCCCGTCTCTACTAAAAATACAAAAATTTGCTGGACGTGGTGGCGCATGCCTGTAGTCCCAGCTACTCGGGAGGCTGAGGCAGGAGAATCACTTGAACACAGGAGGTGGAAGTTGTAGTGAGCCGAGATCACGCACTCTAGCCTGGCGACAGAGCGAGACTCCGTCTCAACAACAAAAAAAGTGCACACTCCTCAAAATTCCTAGGAGCAGCTCATGGCAGCCAATGTAAACAACTTCTCCAGCCAGAACAGCAACTGATGGGACAAAGGTAACGTGAGGACAAGCCTAGGGTCCCCCAGGGGAACAGTCACTCTGCAAACACCGTTCCCGGCTCGGCTCCATCCCAGCCTGGCATCTGCCCACAGCTGCTGTCCTTGGAGGTCCCACAGGAGCCCCTGGGCGCAACATAGACAAATCGGGCCCTGGGGAAAGAAGGTGCTAGAAAAAAAGCTGGGGCTGACTTGGTGAGGATTTGGTGGGGTAGGGAAGTCACCAAGGGAGAAGCTAGGTGCTTGTGGTACCCATCCCCTGGTTCCCATGGCAACGCATGACTCCTACCCAAGCCAGAGGGACCCAGCACCTCTCCCCCCAGGGCCACTGAAGGAAGATGAGGAATGAGACCACCGCCACTTACCTCTTTTAAGGCAGTCATAATTTTCGATCTCAGGATGGCTAGGGCACACAGTA